GTCAGGCTGTTAAAAAAAGCTTTCAACACCTCATAAAAACACACACCTCTGTGTTAAGAAATGCATTTCTGTGATATTTTAAACTAAAAGTAACATTTTTCAAATCAGATTAATTAAACTTTAAATCAGTTAATTTTCCTCAAATAAAGAAAAGTAGATTTTATTTTTGAAGATTTTTTAATAAAGAGAATTACATTGTGCTGACAGATGGCTAAAAACTTTTTAACAATTTAAAAAAAAACTCATTCCAATCAATTTAGTTTTGAAATACAGCAATATATTTTGCTTATTGCAAATATATTTAATCTATTAGCTTGAAATTAAAACTAAAATGCAAGCTTCAAGAAAGAATTTTTATTTTTGAAAATTCATATTAAACCTTATGGTACCGCATTTCTTTGGAGGTACCTACATATATATTATTATTATTCTCCAACCCTACAAATAAATGGACTGGTCCACTATCATTACAGTAAGGTATAAATATAAATATTTAAATTATGCAATGATCAGTCTTCAATCAGCACCTGATGATTGCACTGTGCATGAAACTCAGTTTTGTGCTACTGGGGAAGAAAAAATGTATATTATTGATATAAATCATAGTTCTATTATTATACATTGGGCAATCAATGTGTGACATTTTATATATGAATATATATGTATGTTGAAATACAAAAATAATTATTTGGACTTACATATAAAGTGTTATATAACAACAGGCCAATGAGTGGGAAAATAAAGTCAGCCAAAGGTATGCAGTTTCCGACTGACAGGCACCTCAATGGACATCCCTTTCCTTATTTCTCAAGGCTCAACATGGCAATTTCTAGTTAAAAACAGTGACAATCAAATAAGAGACTTTCATTTCTTTGTAGCATTTCATTCCGAGCAACAAAAATGATGAAAAAAATACTTATTAAAAATTAACAATAAAATTAATTTATCTAAGAAATTCAAAATTTTACCAGTGAAAATTTTATGAATTTAAGTTTTGAATGTAGAAAAAATTGTTTTGTACTAAATTTTTAAAAAATGGTAAATGTTTTTTAATTTCTTTTGTAGAGCTTGGAATTATATACTTTCAAAACTCAAATGAGTAAAACTACTACATATAAATGAGATCCAGAGATTATAGTAGTAATAAGTTGCAGTCACAATTAAAGTAAATAAAGTTACTTGAAGTAATAAAAATGTCACATTAAGAATAAAATCTATTAATTAATCTAAATAAACTTTGAGTAGTTGTGGTATCATTTAAAATATTTAAGTTTTTGCATGTGAAGAAGTGTGTAAGTTGATTTTCTGTGGATGCAGCCTTTCTTAGTAAACAGTTAAATAATAATTTGAAATGGACATGGTTTTGATATAGATAAATTTTAATAAATGGCATTACTCACTTACAGAAGAAAAAGAAATTCAAGTATGTTGCTTTAAAGATGTTGGCATGATGTTTCAGTCTCAGTCAGTCTTTTGATCTCTAGCATCTTCATATCCTTTCAAGTAAGAGATTCACTTAGTGTAGATTTGTGTAAATGAGCAATATTTATTTTTATAATTGAAAAAAAAAACATTAGAAAAAAATGTGGAACAAGGCAAAACATAGGGAGAAATAATGAGAGATGCTGGTCTTTACTACCCTGACATTAATTTAACCAGTTACATTCATTGACCCAAACAATTTTTTCAGTATAATTTTGTATTTATTCAAAATCTTTCATAAAACAAAAACTTTAGATTTTCTTGATGAAAATTCTAAGACCCATATTTACAATACATATGGTAAAACAAATTTGTTGTTTAAAATGAATTATTCATATTTACGGTGAGTTGAAATGATATAAACAAATATCTTGTGAAAAGATGTGATATCCCACCCAATCTAATATAGCAAAACAAAAAAAAAACTATTAACTAATGTGAAAATGATATGAAGAAAATTGGGTGTCAAAGGCCATAAAGGGTCACACTCCAAACTCATTGATCAAGTATTTTCTCACTGCTCTGTTAACATATCTTTCTTGACAATGGTCAGGTGGTGGAAAAGCCAGTCTTCACTCAAAAGAATTCTATGAAATAAATCATTGGTCAATCCTTCAAACAAATGCTTATTGTAAAGCTTTAAACTTATTTATCTTCAAGCTAAAAACACTAAAAATAGATATACTGAAACTGGCAAAAATGATTTTCTGGAAATGGTCCTCTTGCATTTCCTCTTCTAATGGTGATTTGAAGCCTGAATTTATTTATAAGCCTCTGTATAGCCAATATTCCTGGAACACTCCATATCCTATCATTTCTTGAAAGTGGTATTATATAAAAATTCCATCTAAAGCCAAATGTTGAAATTAATATTAGCTCAAGCCCCAGAGTCATCTCTCCAGACAGTATCTCTTATTTCGGAGGTGGCTTGGGTTATTATCTGGTGCCTGAGGCATCCCCAAACGGGGAAGTGCCCTGCCCAGGGGGCTTGAACAATTTTTGTATAGCATTTACCAAATCCCACATTAAACTCCAACCTTGTGTCACATTCTGTTGTAACATGGACATGCAAATAAATACATAACTAGATTTTGAAAATTACATTTCAAATTTTTATGCCAAAGTTAAGCTTAAACAAATATCCAGTTAATTTTAATTTTATTTTTTAGTTTCATTTTTTGAAAAGAAAGAGTAAATAAATTTTGAGTTTAATCCCCAAATCCCAAGAATTAGAGAAAATATTGCTCGCCACAAATCTAAATGAAATGAATGATCATTAAAAGGAAAACTGGACACTTTTTAAAAAATATTATTTTTCATTTTTTTATGGAGTGTGAAATTTGAAGAATTCAGAATAGTTTATATATTTATTTTTCTATTTTATAATATGAATTCTGCTTAATGATTTTTTTTAAAAAAATGAAAAAATGCACAAAAACAGCTGAGGAAAAAGGGATTCGAGAGTGACAGTTTGGACAAAATACAATGAATAATACTTTATACAGTTTAAAAATGAATCATTAAAGAAAATATAAGAAAAAGATTTAAACTGTAATATCCATTGATAAAACTGGTCTGATTTAAAATGAGATTCAACTGGTGTTGTTCATTCACTTGGTAGGCAATACAAATTTCAATGCATTGGACCCAATGGGTTTGCATGAAAATGAATGCAGAATACCTTGTTTTTGATTTGCATGTGCCTTGAGTTGTATGGGCACAGAGATATGAAACCAATTGATTTATGAGATACTGTTGTACAAGGATATGCAATTTTCATTTTTTAAAGTCTTGAATTTCTATAGTATTTTATTCACTAAATTTTTCAACTTAGATTTGAAGTTGTTTTTCACAAAACTTTCTATCATAAAGGCACCAAAGATGGGACTCTTTTGATGTATGTAAGGAGACATAACTTGAAGCCTAAGTTTTATAAACACTGCTACGAAATTGTCAACTTCGAAAATGTGGAAAAATGCATCGGCTGTTACTGAAATTGTGAATTATATCTTTATAAAGTGAAAAGATTATATTTTGTTTATATACTAATTTTATCAAAATGGCTTCAAAATTAAATGAGACATCAGCAATTGAAATGGAAGGAAATGTCAATATTTTGATACGTTTTTACACTTTTGGGATACCTACTAGAACTAAAATAAAATTCATAGATATATTTTATTTCTAAGTAAATGTTTTCTCCAGATTTTTTAATAAAATACAAGAATAATCAAGAAAGATAACAAGCAGAATTACTTTAAAATATTGTTGTTTCATTTGTATTCAGAAGTTATAAACATGTTATAATTTTTATTATATTTGTGAAATAAGTGATGTAGAATAGATTAAAAGATTTGATAGGAGTGAGAATATTACCTTAACATTCACTCAAAGAAAGGAATCTTGTAATTTTAAACCAACATGAAATATTCTGTTTACTTTCTTTTTGAGTATTTGAGGTTACTTGGAAAATGCCTCCTAATTTTGAACATAAAGTTGTTTACTTAGACTTGAATAAAAAAATAGAGATATATACAAAAATTAAGTTTACAGTTCCTAACTCTCATGATTAAGGTCATTCTATACAATACAAGAATCTATCATATATTTCAAATATTGCAAAAACATTCATGACAATTAAATGGCAAACACTGGAACAGCTGTAACAAATTAAAATATTACCAGAAAATAAACTAAAATCAATTTATGGAGATACTTAGAGATTTTTATGGAAATGGATTATTCATCTAAACAAATTTTACTATGTTGTATTCTTTTTCTGATGTCTATACATATTTTAAATTAAAATATTTTCAAAGAAAATTTGATTTAAAAATATTCACTAGAATAAAAAAATATTTGACATTATACAAAATAAAAAATATAAAAAAATCATTCTTCTTGAAATAGAAAGAAGCAAATATGTATTCAAAAATAGAGTAGAAATTGAAAGCTATGGATCCTAATAAGCAATTTGTATATAATAATTAGAGACCTATACAAAACAATAAAAACATGCTTTATTGACAATATAAAGGATAAAAATGATCAAAAATATTATTGAAAGCAAAAAATATAAACATTCTTGAATACTAATAAAACGATATTAACTTGTTATAACTTTTATTATGTGTAATGTGTTGATGATTGTGGTCAATCTTACGTGAAAGTTGGATGAAACAACCAATTACTAAAAAAAAAGATCAGTTGGTTGCTGCTATTTTGGATTAGCAACCAATTGTAATTTCTTAACATGTCACTTGATAATCATGGAATTTATCACTTCAAACTGAGATCAATTTGATAAAATGTATTTTGTTTTCTAAAACAAAATGGAGAAAGCAATTATATGAGGTTGAATTGAGTTTGGTGAGTTTGAGCTAGTTGCAGAAATCTTTTTAAGTGTGAAAATTTAATTTTTGGAAGAATCAAGTATTTAAGAGATCTAATATTTAAATATTTAAAAAAATATTTAAATATTTTGGCTGCAGTAATTCCTTGATCTAGAAAAAAGTTGTTTACACTAAAGTATTGTGTGGACTCTGTGAAGAAGAAATATGGCAATTACTGTTTGTGGAGGGAATATATTCCAGGCATGACATGACATTCCAAGGTTCATTAGGTGGATGAGTAAGCAAAGTGGTCAGCTCTGTCCAGTGAACAGTTGGTGTTGTCAAAGAGATTTGTTTTGTAATGTTAGTAGGGCAATTGATTTGAGTTTTCAAAGGATTACATCCAGGGGAACAAATAGGCAACAGAAGTGGCTGTCTACTTTGTGGAGTGAGGAATGGACAATATCCAGAATTTAGTAGTGATTCATCCTGAGTTGAATTATTAGAACACAATAAATTTGTTGCTTGCTCAGATGTTTCAATTAAAAATGAAGTTGATTCCAAGAAGCTTGTGACATTAAATTTTGATAGTCCTTTAAAATTTGCGGCCTCTTTCAGAGACTTGTGATGGGTTTTATGCACTTGGAGTGCTGAAATATAAATAAATTAAAAAATTGGCTGTTTTGTAAGAAAAAAGAACAATGTAAAATTGTCATCAAGGTATTAAACATTATTGTAGTAAATTATTTAATATGAATTTTGATCATGTTATCAAGTGATGTAACAGAAATAGATTTATTGTACTTGTCTTAATAGACAAAAAATATTTTCACCAAAGCAAAATTACTCATAAAAAACTTGTGTTTGTGAAAATGAGAGAAAACAGAACATCATGAAATAAACCTGTTTATATGGTATATATATTGATGATAACAAAACAAGTACACAGTTATTTAAACCGAAATAGATGAAGTAAGGAATTGTTTATTTTTAGTTTATAAAACAAAAAAAAGAAATTATATTTATCTCAGTGTTTACAGAATATCCAACAGTGTTCTTCTTGGTTTACACACAATGATGATAGTTTTTTTTGTTGTTGCTTTAATGTGATCCACTTTTTGTCTAATATGTATCTTCTTTGTGTTTTCACACACTGCATCTTCATCCAATGAAACTATTGAAACTTATTTTACCTAATTCTGGAGCTACTCCCCCATATTGCAACTGAACTGAACCCTGACTAAGTATTTTGCCCACGACTCTCAGTTTTGAGAATATCACTTTTTTTAGAGTTTATATACATACATACATACATGATGGCTGCAACTTGATTTTGAGTAATGCCTGAGCATTTTTTATAGCAATTTTGGATTCCTCAGAGCCAAAAGCTTTTCTGAGTCAATTTCTAGGAGTAGGGAAGCTCTAGAACTAATTTTACACACAAAAATTGATTACAAAAGGTTGAAATTTTTTGCATGACCCCAAAACTGGGGAAAAGTAAAAATTGATGTAAATTGGCCAATTTTTGGAATTAGAATCTCAAATTTTGGAGATTGTCTTACTTTAACATAGTCAACACATGGACAAATTTTAGAAAAATTTAATAGGTACAGGTGACATTTTTTTTTCTGGATGATTTGACATGGAATTGTCTGCAGGTATTATTATATAATATTATGATTTTTCTTTCTCCTAAAAATACGTCTTAACCCTTTGAGCCCTGTGTTCCTGAACAATTTTAACACTTCTGCCTGAGCTCCTGTGTCAAAATTTTCAAATAATTGGTATGTAATATTTCATAGTAGATATAAAATAGTTACAAGTGTTTAGCCTCTGTTCAAATGGTGGTTGGGAATTACGTCATTTTTCTCTATCACTGATAAAGCAGTGGTCAGGGCTCAATGGGTTAATAAAGACTACGAGTCTCTTGCTATAAGCTTACAGTGCACCCAGATAAAATCCCAAGTATTTCTACATCTCTCTATGTGTTCCTACATATATATATATATATATATATATATATATATATATATATATATGGTCGCATGGCTGAGTGGTTTGCTTTTGCTTTCTGAACATGAGTTCAAATCTCATCATGGTTGATTTGTCGGGAAGCCAACTTCCTAATGTTATCAGACTGGATCAAGGTCAATCCCAGCGTGCAGCACACCTCTAAAGTGCCTGAAAACCATACTACAGGTTGACCCAAGCCTCGTGAGTGAAATTGGGTAGACAGAACTCTTGTGGACCATTGATAGCTGTGCTAGCACAAAACCACAAGTCATTGTGGCCAAGGGCTTGAGTGTGCTGGCATTGTTCAACTTGTTGATCACACTAGATCTTTCTCAGCTGTAACTAAAGCCTGATCAGCATAGTTACAGTATAAACCACTGGTGGGCTTTGTGGGTGTTGAGCAAACAAAAAATGTGCCTAAGCAAGGGTCTGCAAAAGGGATTGGCTAGCCACCCTAGTAGACAGGTATCTCCAAATATGAGTGGCCAGCTTTATATATATATATATATATATATATAGGAACACAGAAATACTTGGTTGGTATCCGGGTGCACTGTAAGCTTACTAGGAGTGAGAGACTTACACTTCCAAATCTAATGACGAGCAGAGATTGGCAGTTGATCTCATTCAATCAAAGCTCTAACATCTCAGTGGGGAAAAAACTGGCTGGTTACATTCAATGCCTCAAAAATCAAACTAGCTACATTTCATCATCATTGATTGGACCGCAGTCATGATGAATGGAGATCTCCTCAGAGAGGCTCCATATGCCTTGAGAGTCTACTGGGCCTTAAACTCACCCCTGACATCAAGTGGAACTTATACACAAGATCCATCACTAAACATACAGAAAAAATGGTCAGTTCCCTGTACCTGACATCTTGTGCTATCCTCTACCTTTACAAGAGCCAAATCAGGCTTAAAATGGAGTGTTGTCATATTTCAGCAGGAGCTGTCCAGTCATCACTTTCTAGTCTCAATAGAATCCAAAAGTGTTTCCAAATCCTTATGAGTGACAAGTTATTTTCCATTCTTCCAACCCCTCTCTCACAGATGGGAAGTGGCAAGCTCTTCACTGAACTATTGCTAGTGTCATGGAAAATACTCATGTGAACTACATTCTTTGATTCTGCCAGTTCTAACCATTACAGCTAGGACCTGCCATGCCACTCACATTGTAACAAACTACCCTCATTCCTTCTGTATTGCAATGTAAGTTCTACATGAACAGCTTCTTCCTGTAATCCACAGCTGTGTGGAACTGACTCTCAAGAAGATGTTTCCCCGATCACTACAATCTCAACCTGTTCAAGTCTAAGGCTAACCATTATCTTCTCTTCCTATCTGTATAAACTGCCTCTTACTCTGTAACACTCTACCTCAAGTTAGCCCTGGGCCTTATACAGGGTGAACCTCACCGTAAAAAAAAAAACAAAAAAAAAAATACACACAATATACATACATACTCACATGAATATAAAAACACCTGGTACATATGTGTATATACACACACATACATATAATAAAAGCTTAAAATACAAGTTTATAAATCACTATTTAACCAATAACTTACTATAAATCAATAAACTATTTTATATATTTGATAATATCAAGTGAACACTAAAATGAATAAATGATGAAAAAATGACAGGTGGTTAAAAATAACAATAGAAAATAAACAGAAATTGAAAACAAGACAATACAAACTTTCAGAATAGATGGGAAAAAATAAGCTAATAAAAAACAAAAACATAAATCTAAACTTAATTCATTCACAAAGACACACACACACACATTTAATTCAATAATAAAAAACATGTAAATATTTTTCATGTGAGATTTGAAGTTAATTTACCTTGTTCAATTTTTTCAATGATTTGGGTTTGATAGAGCCAGTCACTGAAAGTATTTTCACTGTTTTTGATATTTGCAAGAAACTGTGCTATTCTCATAGTCTTGGCTCTAATGGATCGACTTAGGCAAAGCAGCTTTTGAAAGTCATAAGCCCTGGCCAAATCATGACAAGGCATCAGTTCCTCTTTTAACCTTTTGGCTGAAATTCAAATAGAAATTATTATCAATGAAAATGCAGAAAAATAGGGAAAACATAATAAAAACATTTTTTTTTAATATTTTATTGAAAAAAAGGATGAAAGAAATTAAGTCATGCGTATAAAAAAAAATGATGCTTCCTGTATAAATATAATGGAAGATTTTCTAAAGGATCAACAGATTCTGTATGAAATATTCCACAAAGTTTAGAATTGAATACAAAGATTTAGAAAAAAAATAAAATAACAGAAATACCCTATTGAGAATTATATTTTAGTAGTGAAACAAATTTTTAAAATGACATGAAAGAAGCAAATTGGAAGCATTATTTCAACAAAAAATGTAACAACTAATCAGTCACATCACTTGTGTGCTAAATGTACACTTAGTTACTCTGTTAATGTAACAATCTTAATATCAAGATATTATGACACAGGGATTCAGGGGGTGAATCGAACAAAAAAAAAGAAAGAAAAAAGAATAGGAAAGAGTTTACTAAATGGATGATAATTGTTAAAATTTGCAGAAAGTTGGATTGAAAAGTTGAGAAGAAAATTAAAAAAAAAAAACAGGTTAAAAAATCAAGTTTCAAAATAATAAATGAACTCCCAAACAGTTCCAAGGAGAATCGAATCAAAGATGGAATTCAGTAAGATTGAGCAAATCCATGAATACCTGTTCTTCCACACTTCCCACTGATAAGAAAGAGACAATTAGATTATCTTTGAAGATGTCGAACAGAAAAACATATGATGTCGATAAAGAAATCTGGGCGGTCACCGAAATAACATTTAAGATTCTTCTGGACAAAAGGCTAGGAAAAACATTTGGTTTGAATCGGCCACTCAGAATAAAAATATCCCTACAAAAATAGAGATTAGCCTGACCAAGATCTTGTGCTAGCCTTGAAGACAAGAACTTATAAATTTATATTACTAACACAAGCTGCAAACTCCAAAAGGGGATCACAGTGCCATTTGATTATAACAGTATATAACAAATTATATCTAAACTGAATTCTTTTTTTTTAACCAGAGTTAATTCTTTATTTCAAAGAATTCTTTTTTTTGTATAGCTCTTCATCATTGACCTGTCATTTGCTTCGGTTTACTTCATCAGTGATTTTCTCACCCTCTGAGATCAAAAACATAACATGGTAGAGGAGTGAAGGATCATGAAGGAGACAAATGCTAGATTGAATGGAACTGTGCTCATCAACAAGATACCAATGACCAATCAGCAACATGTTAATGAGTGAGGGGTCAGCTAGATAGTAACCATGGTGATCAGAAGGAACTTGAAGACCAACACATAGGAGTGGGGTACATTATTGGTTGCCATGGACCAAGATCAACTTATGGCTACAATATAATACTACTTTGCTATAAATGAATGTACAAATAAATGAACTTAAATACTCATAATAATATAAGATTTACATGTATTTAGCAATAAAAACATTTTTATATATTACTTTTTATTATTTCACCCCAAACAAAGTAATAAAACACTAAAGATTCAAGTGTGAAAGAATATAAGAAAAAGAAAAACATTATTAAGGAGACTGATGTACTATTCAAGATCTAAGTAAAAAGTCACCAGTAAGAGAAGAAAATATTTTCTGTAATTACCTGAGACAGCAAGAAAGAGGTGTGGATCAACTGTAAGGTCCAATAATGTGACTAGATTGGTCATTTGGCTTTTCCATTCTTTGACTAGCATCTTCAGCTGAATAATGGCAGCATCAGACATACAAATAGGTTGATTTGAAAGCTCTTGAATTTTTAAGCTTATTAGTGAAGATATTTCAGGATCCAAACATTCAAAGTTATGAATTGCTATTTCAATTTCACGCACTCCTACAAATTAAAGAAAAAGGCTCAAAATTCAATATTACAAGAAACTGTCAAGAAGTAATGCTTTAATTACAAGTGATTTAATAGTAGACGCACACAAAGCATACTAAAATTAACATAAAAGTTTCAGGATTCCAAATCTAATCCTCAAAATTTTCCCCCTTTTTTTGTCATAGTATTTATTTTTGAATGAGGGTATACATACCTTCTTTGTACAAGCTTCGTGACTGCTCTCTTAACTATGTGCAAGATGTCGCTTTTATTTCATCATTATTGGAGAATTGCTGTTCTAAGTACCTGCTTAATGGGCCCAAAAAAGAGGAATGTGCTTGGGTAGCAATCACTGTTTTCCCTTTCATAGAGGAGGCCAACTTTAATGGAACTCACTTTGCACAGATTTTTGAATAGCCAAAAACTGCACTTTAACTGCATGCACTACTGTGATGAAGGTTTTCACAAAGTTTTACAATAGCAATTTTTTTGTCAGCTGTAATGAAAACAACAGCTTGTTTGACGTTATCCTCATTCACAGTAGTAGCTGGTCTACCACTGTGGGGCCTGTCACAAAACTCTTTGAAACAAAAGTTACTCTTTTCTCTGGTCATATGGTTGCCGTCCAACTGGACAACTGACCAGCGTCTTCCATGTCTCAGTTGCATGCCAATATCTAAGTTGAAAGTTGAATAGTTATTCATTTATGTACAGCATATTTTAGGCAAGTAGACCTGACAGAGCACATCTCTCTCCAGGTCCAGACCCCAGCCAGTGTCCTTCATTGTTAGAACACTCCACCCCTGCCTGTTGGAAGACCTCCACAAAGCAATGCTGTGTCATCACTGTCCCTGAATATACTGCCAGTAGTTCAGTTCCATGTGCAGATTTAGCCTGCAGCCAGTTGAAATTAATTGTAGTTACCTTCATTCGACTGAACTTCTGACTGATGAGAGCCTTACTGTGCTTAAATCAAGGGCAACACAACCATAAAAATTCACTTACATCCTGTGAATGTTTACAGCACTTTCTCCTTCCAAAAACAGAAATTATATGATATTTCTTTGCTTTCAGTGGGTCAGCCATTTTGAAAGAGGATTATAGGAAAAAAAAACAGAAGGTAATTACTTTTTCCTTGGCAGCCTTCTAGACATTTTATGATTTATAGCTAAAAACCCCTATGAATTCTAATACTTTAAAGTAACATTAGAAAAAGCATAACTGCTTGACAACACACTTGTACAAATATCAATAAAGTTATGCCAAACACAGTATTTGAAAATTAGCAAGGAAGAAAATATGTTTCTTGCTCAGTTCAGATTGGTGGACATTTGCAAAAAACAAAGATAATGTAAAACAGAAACTGATATAAAACTTTTTAAGAAATTGACATCACAGTAATTAAAATTTTCCAGATTTTAAATCACATCCCAAACAGTTTAGGAATTTATTTGAACTAACAACATGGTCTTTGATTGTTTTAACAATTTCATTTCAATAACAATCTACAATGATTTCTGGTGACATGATATATGCTTGTTGATGGTAAATTATGACAGAAAAGAAAACTTATTAACGATATTGTTATATACCATAACTATAAACACTAATGGGTATGTCCCAATCCTCATAAATATATTGGACACTATTGTAAGTGGGGGTAATATGCTGTCTAAGTAGTCCACCACTAGAAGTGGTTTACCTACTTCATGCTGATGGCGAGTATTGTAATTTGTTGATGTTATAAAGATTACCATTTCATTTCCAACCTCTATTTTGGTTATTCCTCATTCAGTAACCATTTCTAGGTTACAGCATATATAAATGATGAAAACCAGAACATCAATGCACATCCACAAGTTAAGAGTCTCATTCCTTTGAAGTTTAGGTAACAAATAGCTTCATAATGTCTAGTAAATTATATTCTTAATTTTTGTAGATTAAAAAGAGATATATTTTCTAGTTTCTAGCATGAGAAAAAAAGGGTAAATTAATTTTGAAATCTTTCATTTCAAAATGATACAAAGCTTGAGATGGTAAAGAAATGATTACTTAAAGCCAACAGTTCTATAAATAAATTAATAGATACAGTGCTGCACAAAAATAAGTGAACCCCCTAAGATAATATTAAAAAAATTCTCTCTTTTTTCCAGATAATCAATAAATCTTAAATTAAGAAAAACATTTATTAAATGAATTACAATCATTTTCAAAAATTTTTATCAAGCTGGAATAAAAATAAGTAAGTGAACCCTTACATTTAATATTTAGTGACTCCTCCTTTTGAGGTCATGACATCAGCTAGTCTTTTTATATAATTTTTAAGAAGTTTTTGGCAGGAGTGAGCATCAATTTTTGACCCTTCTTGGTAAAACTTCCACTATTGCTTGATATTACCTGGGTTTCTTGCATGTACTGCTTTTAACTTAAACTACAGGTTTTCAATTAGATTTACATCAGGACTATGACTAGGCAATTCCAAGACTTGAAATTTCTTTTTTTCAAACCTATTCTTCTGTGGGTTTGCTATGATGCTTCAGATCATTGTCCTTTTTTAACCTAAACCCAACTTTCCAACTGAGGACAAAACACTTTTGTTCCAAATTTCTTGGTATCTTGCAGAGTCCATTGTGCCATCAATGCATACTATTTTGTCTGTTCCAGCTACAGCAAAGTACCCCCAAATTACAATGCTGTCACTGCTTTATTTAACTGATGGCACCAAATTCTTCTCTTCAGAAGCCATATTAGGAGCTCATCCAAAGGCCTTCCAGTTATAAATAACTTGTTGCATGGTGGAAATGTGCATACCAAATCATTTTGATAGCTTTTTGTCTCCATCATTATAGGCTTCAATTATGTGATTTTTTAAAGCTTCAGATTTTCTTTTGAATTTGGTATATTTTATTTTTAAATTTAGTCTCTAACTGCAACCTTTTGCAACCAATGAGTTATATCAGTTGACTGCAGTATATAAAGCTTACCAAAAAAAATGAACACATCATTTTGACTTTTACACATGCACACCAAATTATTTGCACTGGCAACCAAGTAAAACAAAAATACTTACTTTTGCACATCTTAATTTTTAACTAATATTTTTATTCTAGCTTGATAAACATTTTTTAAAAATAGTAATTTGTTTAATAAAGGTTTTTCTTAATGAATATATAGTTCAATTAAAATTTGTTGATCTTAGGTGTTCACTTACTTTTGCACAACATTGTATACAAATGAGTTAGTATTATGCATGTGTGTCTATGCAATTAGGCAATTTGCTTATTTTAACAGAAATGTTATAAAGAGAGTTAAATGCCCAAAATGGCATTAGGACTTTTTAAAAATAATTTATTAAATGATATCAAAAAGAAATAAAAGAATTTGAAATTTTATTACCTAAAATGTTATCAAAATAGAATTTAAAGTGCACATCTACAAAATATTCATAATACTATGAACTGATTTTGTAGCAGTTTAAAAAAATTATACATAAATTGTTTGATGTAAACTTTCTTTGGTAAGATTGATTTTTTGATATCTGTATTAAAAAATAAACTTTTTTATTGCTTGTGACAAGTAAAAGACATTGGAAAATTATCAAAGTTAAGAAAGAGATGAGGAAGTAAACTGAATTACAGTAATTCAGGATTAATAAAATTATTCAAATGTGTTTAAAGAAAGAAAACATACGTTTTAATTTGTGTGAACTGGCAGCCACAAATCGAGCAACATTCCAAACGCTGTCCAAGTGATTATGGAAGAAATCTTTCAATGACATCAACTTTTTTACATCGCATTCACTCTGATAAAAATAACAATGATAATATTAAGTGACAAACTATTCCTTGTAATATGAGAAGATTCAGTGAGATGAGAAATGTTATTTAATGGCTGAAAAATATTGATTAATAATTTCTACTCCTCTGGGAAAATTGACTACAAAAAATATTTAGTAGTAAAAATATCTGGAATGGAAAAAATGTTAAAATGAAATGAAAGTGCAGAGGAAAAAGTTTAGAACTTCTTGAATGAACCTTGATTCATAAAATTTGCAGTAAAAGCTTAGCAAGAAGATCCAAATAATACAAAAAATGTTACCCTTTAAATTCTATCAAACAATGAAGTCAACAAATTTACACCTAATTAGAAAATTTACTTATAAATATGACTATAGATCTATTGTAGTCATAAAAAACAAAGGATAATTCAATTGAAATCTTCACTTGAGCAATTTCTATCCTTACAATATTTTATAATAAATTGAAATTTATCCTGTCTTTCATTTGCTTTTTTCTAGAGAATTTTCAGTACCTGTATTGAAAGTTCTCTTCTAGAAAAAAGTACCACAGATTTTGTAAGTACATTCAATGAACATAATAATTTCACCTATAACTATTATCAGTGGTCATTACTTTTTAAATCAACACCAACTTCTAAGACTTATTACTGCATTTATCTTGAAATCATTCATTGTTTATTATTTTTTTTAAAATATATTCATAAAATTAAAGTGAAATTTTAGAAATAAAAATTAATGAAACATTGTTTCTTCTGATACTGGTTAAATGATACAACAGTTAACAGGGAAACATCTTGATGGATACTTATTGCGATGGAAAGCAATTTCTTTTAATTATTAAAGATAAATAATTGATGGAAAATTTGGGTGTTTTGTGTTGAAACAAGAAGTGAAAAATCATGAATTTGTTTAAACTTTCAAGATATAAAAATACTATGAAAAAATTTGTAATAGTAGCAACTGTGACTTCAGTCAAATTACATTTTTTATGCTCTTGTCTTTCTAATTCGAGAAGCCAAGCCACAAAAGGGGTGCCGAACAACTCAACACCTGCTTACTCAGCTTGAAAACTATGCAATTTCTTTCATCAATTTAAAAAAAAAAGAAAGAAAAATAATTTATTAAGGATCAATTTTTAATACATGACTTTATTTTTAATTTAGAAATTTATTGAAAATATAGGCAATTCCCCTCAATTATTCAATTGGAAATTGTTGTGAAAAAGAAGAAACAATCTGTAAAATTTTTCATCTGTTTTCTTATACTTCTTCAATTAATTGCTCGAAAAATGCATCTCGGTTTCTTTGCATCTTATGCAGCCCCATAAGGAATCTCAATATTATGGGGTACTCCATCCCCAACATTGTGTGCAGTTTTCTATTTGCTGCTTCAGCATGGTTATTTGTCTGATTTTGAAAAACATCAGTTATCCAAATAAGCTGTTGCAACTAATAAATCACTAAGACAAACAGCCATCTTTCAAAATCTCTATGACTCAAACCTGATCTAAGAGATGTGCACACTTTGACAGCCAATACAGGTCTGAAGCTATGAATTTGATGCTAGTGTTGAGTTGTCCTTGCACTGAATAGATTGGTGTAGAGTTGGCAATTATGAAATGTCCCATCCCATAATTTAAAACACATGGTCAAGAAATCCATATAGCTAATGTTTTTTGGGAGAGTAATCTTTGGAACAAAATGGGTTATCATTTATTTGTATTGCAGTGAGCCTGATTGAGTCATAATATTGTATGAAATGTCATTTAGTGACTTGAGGTATTGAGAGCACCAAGAATGCTCGGTGAAAGAATAAAAATGCCAAGAGAAAAAAATTATAGCAGTTCATCAAATGGGGGGGGGGAGTTTGGTTTTAAAAGATTAACCAGAACCCATAAAATGCTTAGGAGAATGACATTGTTTTATTGATTGACTAGTTTTACAATCCTTTTTGGGTTATTTAATGCCAGAAAAGGTACAATAGGCAAATTTTTGGTGGATATATAAATTCTTTGTAGAGATATTACATTGATAAATAAATTGGAAATTGTTTTATTGGAGTCTGTATATTTGAAATCCAAAGTGATGATTTTGTATGTTTTTTTTGTAGACAGTGTTTTTTTTAAATGTTTTAATTTTTTAAAAATAAGTATATATAAAGTTGTTTTATATTTTATGGTACAGATCCACTACTTTCAGAAAGGTTAGAATGTTGTTTATATCAGCATTCTTGAACAGTTCTCTCGTATTATTTTCTTTATAGAAAAAATTCAGCACCTTCAATTAGAATGTATTTTATGGTGAATTGTGTTTGACACACTATACACTCTGGTGGATTCTCTTGTTCGAGTATGTAAGAGTGGGTGATTTTTGTTTTGTATGGACAATGCACAATCTCAACATGACCTGTCCTTTTGGGGATTGGGAAGGGGGGGTCTCAGTTCCCACTTTTCCAGGGTGGATTTTATAGAATATAATTTGTTGTTTTGGAAGGATATCCAAATGTTTTGCTACTTTTTTTAAATGTGTTTATTTGTGGTTTGTTTCAGGTCTGTGTATGGCACTGTGGATGTGATCTGGTTCCTTTGCTGCTCTAGCATTGCCATGGATACCGATGTGGCTTGGTATCCAGCAGAAGGCAATATTTTTTAATTTTGGTAGGTTGTTGATTCTGTTAAGCAGTTTTATAGTCAGTGGGTTGGTCAGTTTTTGTTTTTTAGTGCTGTGAGTACTGATAAGGAATCCAAGTAAATATTTTTTATAATTGTTTCTTATGATGATGTCAAGGGCCAGGTCGAGTGCTGATATTTCTGCACTGTATATGGAAGCCCCATCTGGGAGCTGTTTCTTTAATTTGGTTTTTCCATGGATGGCAGCACATCCCACTTTGTCACCTTCTTTCGATCTGTCTGTATATACGGTATTATATTTAGTGTAGTTGTTTCTAATGATTTGAACTTCCTCAAGAAAAATGATTGGATTTGTTCTTGTCTTGGGATATTTAGCAAGGTTCAGTATATTTGGTTGTTTTAGTAACTATAGTGCTCTTTCTGAGATGATGGATTCATGCACTTGTTTCATGTCAGTGTGGGTGTCATTAAAAGGTTTTATGGCTCTCTCTTTTTTAATGAAAAGTGCTTTATATTGTGGTTCAAAGGCACAATTGTAGGCAGGATTTGAGGGCCACAAGGCTAGTTTGGTATAATATTGTAGAGCCAATTTTCCTCTATGTGTTAATGTGGGTTCATGGGCTTCTGTGTACAGGCTTTCTGTTGGAGAAGTTTTAAATGCTCCAAGCACGTCTTAATCCTTGATGATGGAAAGCTTCCAGAGTATGACTTACTGGCTGCCCCATAATTGAAACAAGATCAGTAAGATCATTCTGTCAGTATGGGCCACTACTCTCAACAACTGAAGTCTCTTATTGCATTTGGTTTTCAGTGCTTTGATGTGTGCTATAAATGTCAATTTGGAGTCAAAAATGATGCCTAAAAATTTTTGTTGTTGTACCACAGGTATTTTGGTGCCGTCTATTATTAGAGAGGGAACATTGTGCATTTTACATAACTGACAGAAGTGGACATACTTTGTTTTAGTTTTTGAGAATGTAAATCTGTTTTCTTTAATCCAATTATTTACTTTGAGAGATTGTTGCAACTTTTTCTCAGCAGCATGCATGTTTTTGGATGTATAGTATATGAAGAAATCATCTACATAAAGTGCGCTATTAATTCCAGGACTGACATGTTTTATAATGTTATTTATCTTGATACTGAATAGAGTTACCAATAAAATACTCCCCTGTGGCACACTCATTTCTTGTATTTTTGGGTTAGATAGCATGTTCCCAATTCTTATTTTAAAACTCCTATTGTTTAAAAAATTTTTAATAAATATTGGAATTCTGCCCACTTATCCAAATTCTTTTAAATCCCCAATGTTTTCAGGCTTTGACATAGGCTTTTTCCAAATTGAAAAAAATTGCTACAAGCTGTTCCTTCTTGAGAAAAGCTTCTCTTATATGTGTTTCAAATTTAATTAAGTGATCTGTTGTACTCCTCACCTTCCTGAATCCAGCTTGGAGGTTCATTATAAAGTACAATATTAGTTTGCATTGATCACCCTCTGTTTTGTAGATGCAATTGGAAGTGCTATTGGTCTATAGTTTATATGATCGTTTAAGTTTTGTTTTGTTTTTTTGGGATAGGAATTATTGTTGCTTGTTTCCAGAGGTTGGGGATGTTACCTGTTGTTCATATGTCATTGAAAATTTGAAGTAGATATTGATGGGATATTCTAGATAAGTGTTTTAGAAATTGATAATGTATCTCATCTGGGCCTACAGCTGTATTGTGAGTCTTAGCCAGAGAGTCAAAGAGTTCCTCTATTGAGAAAATATTTAATTCCAAACAGATAACACAGAAGACGACAACATTTTCCTTTTCTTCATTTTCTTTAATGTTTATGAATTTTGAGTTTTGTGATAAGGAATTCCATGCAAAACACTCTGCTAGAGTGTTGGGGATATCTTGTTTATTTGTGATTTTTATATTGTTTAAAATGATATGTTGTAATGGATTGTTTGTATTTTTTCCGGATATTTTTCTTACCATGTTCCAGACAGTTTTGGTTATATTTCTTGAAGCTTTCTCTCTTAGCTTCCTTTATTGTTTTCCAAGATTTTGCTTTGAGTGCTTTGAATGTTATTAAATCTGAGGTTAAGAGTTGAGTTTTAAATTTACAGAGAGCAGCTTTTCTCTCTTAAATGGCTTTCTTACATTGAGCATTGAACCATGGTCTGCTTTGGTTATTTGGTTTTTAGGTACACAATCTGTTGCTACTTCTACTAATGTTTCAGTGAAATGGATTATTTGTTCTCCAGTATTTTGGTAACATTAATTTTTCTTGGTACTGTTACTTGAATTTTTCCCAGTCTGCTTTATTTAGTCTCTATTTAGTGGTATTTTCCTAGTTATTGGGTCCTTGGTTTTCAAGGAAAATCAGGTAATGATCGCTACTGCATGTGTCGTCATATACTCTCCATGTATAGTCCATAAAGATTGTTGGATCACATATACTTAGATTTATTGCTGATTGTGATCCAGAAGTAGTGTTCAGATAGGTTGGCGATTTATTGTTTAGTAGACATAGATTACTGTTGTTGATGATATTTTCTAGATTTTAAACATGGATCTAGGTTTTTGCTGTCCCATATGGGATTATGGCTGTTGAAATCCCTTAGTATGATAAAGGGTTTGGGAGTTGAAGGTTGTTTAAGTCATGTATGTATATTGGTTCATGCAGAAGTATATATATATATATATATATGGAACAAATTGTGATAGTTTTATGTAGCATTACTTGTGTTGCAATTGCCTGTAGTTTTGTTTTGATACAAATTTTGCTTTGTGGAATATCATTTTTTATCAGTATTAATGCAACTCCATTGCCTCGGTGTCCTGTATTGTGAATGTAATGGCATTGTTCATAATTTTTGTTTTTTAGGTTATTATTTTCTTGTAGGAAGGTAAGCAAATGATGGCCAGATTCAGGAGTAATAAGTGTATGTGAAACTTGTTGATTTGGTTTTATTCCATGACAATTCCACTGCATAATTTTGTGTGCCATGAATGGGTTTTCCAGTGGTATTGTCTTCAAGGTCCATGTTTTCAGCTATTTTTAGTTTGTTTTTAGCTTCTGGGTTGTTTTTGGAATTTTTGGTTTTGGCTTCAGGTTTTTGTAGTGTCTTCAGACTAGTCTTCTGATTTTGTTTTGGAATTGTTTTTCTTTCATTCTCACCCTCATTTTCCATATTTTCTAGTGATTCAAATTTATTTCCAGTTGGGAATTTAGATCTTAATCTTGAGTGGGATCTCGATCATGTGGTTTCATGCCTGGTGGGTGATTCTTTTTTGTTGTTCAGTTTGTTTTTTGTTTTCCTAATTCCTATGGTGCCTAAACCTCTGGCATCTAAAATATTGAAGAAGGTTTACTATGTACTGTTTTACCTCTGTATTTTGTATCCAATATTTATAGTTTTTGGTATTTGGGGAGTATTGAAAATTAGAATGTAGATGTTGGTATTTATTTGTTCTCCATTTTTCCTTGTGATTCTTTAGGCTTTATTTCTTCTATGGTGCACAGGGAAAGTTCTGTTTTTTATTACTTCCTTTGAAAAATTTAAGGTTTAGTAGGGGTAGGTTTTGTGGATTATTTTTTTTTTTTTTGTAGTAAGTTGTCAGCATACATTTTTTTGTTTTTTACAAAGTTTTTTTTAACATTTTTTGGTATGATTTTGTTAGAGAGAACTTTCTGGATCAAGAATGGTGACATTTTGGTCAATGCGTTATTGTTAATTGCTTCAAGGACAATAAATTGTGGGAAGTTTTCACTATCATACTCAGTCTCTGAATCTGAGTCCGTATGGAGTCTCTTGGATGATTTTTTTGGGCCATAGTTTCTAATTTGTTTCATCATCCACATTCCCTACCCAACTTAAGAGTCTGAAATTGGGACATGATAAGGGGGAAACCCATACACCTTGCCATAACAGGGCTACATGGAAGGTATACTCACTTTGGAAAGGGTTCTTAAGCACCTGTATTCCATTTTTTCCACTATCAAATTATCAGGGTTTAAAAGCCATGTCTAGTTCTTATCTTCCAAATTGATTGACCTTCAGCCACCACATTCCATCATATATTTGGGGTTGGGTATTAGTGGTGGTTTGGTGTGGGTTATATATAATGGGGCTTGGCATGACCAACTGATTAATTGGATCGGGCCTCTCCGACTGTCTAGTAAGGGCCAAAGTGGAGCATTGCAGCTAATGGCCTTTTAGTTCCATATTCATCAGCTGCTCAGCTACCAGGATTCTGTCTTCAAAAATCATGGCAAACAGGTGACCCCTTGGGGGTGCTTCTACCCACTGCAGAGGTGCAGTCAGCGTGTTCTACAGTCCCAATTGACAGGATGGGAGAATGGCATTGGTGGGATAAAATAAACCTAGTAAGATTTAGTAAATTCTGTGTAACTGAATTTTCCTTGCTCTCATACTAGAGGAAGCTGTGATGACAAGATTAATGCTTTCGCCAAAATTTTTCACATCCAGATGAAATCGTGAAATATTATTTTAGCATCTTACCAAAAGACTTACATTGAAATTTTGCCAAAATGTTTGGTACTGGGTACTTTAGAAATATTGGTCAAATGCAATACTAATAGAAAATTCTTTGTTTAGGGATAATTATTAAATTGTTGGTGATTGTTACACTAGTGTTTGTTTTGATTCTCTGCTTATGATCTGTTCGCCTTTCAAGAAAGCTTTCAAGAAAACAAAAACCACGGCTCACTGAATTGTACAACAGTATCCTTCAAGAGATGCATTTTGGCTGATACACAACAAATCAATACTAGATGACTATCTGGGGTACTGCGGCAGGTGGAAATCTGAAACAGTCCATCTGAACTGCCTGCAACATGTACTCTTCACTTTGCATTTGGTGTTAGCAACAAGAAAAGTTGAAAACTGCTACCACAGCTAGCAAAAGGGAGTGTATGTTGGGTGCCCTGACTAAGTGGATTAGCATATTTGTCATTGTAACCTAGCAGACAGATACATTTAGCAGGTGAAGGTGTATATATTTTCAAAATACAAAAAAGAAACACTTCCATTTTCAACATTTCTCTTTACCATGTTAGTTGAAGCAAATGAACATATTTTATTTCAAAAATTTTTCATTTTTAATCATAATAAATTCTTTAAGAAATATGAGAACATCATAAAAACAGATACAAACATTTTTACTCTATTTTTTCAATGTTAACTAGAGTAGTGAAAAGTTCTCAGTCCAATCCACTTTCCAAAATCTGAACAAACAGGAAAAATTTTTTAAATTTGAAGTAGACCCTTAACTTTTCAGCACCCTCTTTCTTCCCAGTAAAAAAAAAATGCTGTCAAACCTATATTTAATTATAAAAAGGCTTGCAGCATATTAAAAAACATCAATTTTATCATAACTAAAATAACCTATAATGTTCTAAGTTCCTAAAATATGCAGAAAGTGCAAGATGTAAGAATATTCTATTCAAAATTTCCATGGAAAATATTTTGAATGCTAGAGTATTTCAAATTTTATAAACCAAATTCATGAATTCTTTCTATTTTAATAAAACAGCATAACTCTGTTTCACAAAATATAAGCACACATGAATTAATATGTACTAAAACATGTAAAATGTTCATTTTCATATTATTTAAAAATAATTAACTTCCAATGAAAAAGTTTGAAAAGTTATCAATTTTATACACTTACCCCAGAAATTTAAATATTCACTTTGAATCAAAAGAGCTGATATTTTTTGGAAAAAAAACAACCTTTATCATAAAGAACAATTTAGTGTTGAATTGAAATATTCTAGTATTTGTATTAGAAAAGACAAGCTAAATTTGGAGAAAAAGATTTGGTTGAAGCAGAAATCAACAATTTATAAATAAGACTTTCTCAGTATTAATTATAAGAAATTACATGGTAAGCTCTTTTTATTTTGTAGATAAAAGTTATCAACTTATGACCAAAAGCAATATTACTTACAGCTCCAGGAAAAAGAACTGGATCAACTAAACGTTCCAATGGCTCTGAAGTCTCTGCAAAAACACTGACCAAAAGATGAAGAACTTCTTTGTTGATACGGACTTCAAGATGGCATAAACAATTTATCAATTTATTACACCAAGAGTTATAAGTGTTTCTGAAAAAAGAAAATTTGTGATTTATACACTAGTCCAGATTTTATTATACAAGTCAATGTTTACAGTATAAAATTCATATTAATCAACCATTGTTGGGATAGTTTTCAAAATAAGACTTATTTTTTATAAATTTGCATAAGGTTAAACTTTGTCAGTGTGTCCACACCTTACATTAGTAAAACAAAATAGTGCAGATCATTAACATGGAAGGTTTCTTATTTTATTATTAGCCTTATATATATATAATATATATATTTAAGACATTTTTATGTTTATACATTCTTTTTATGGATACAAATATTTAAGTAAATGCTCTGTTTATAATAAACAGTATTAAACAACATTTACTGGCCTGAATGTTTGAGAAATTTTCATAGAAAATATTCGTCCTCCGACAGGAATCAAAACTGTATCCTATATGGAACTGTCATATAGCCTGATGTGCCTTTAACCGATTTGGCCACAGAGAAGCATTTGGTTAGCAAGGTCGGTTTTATTGTCTTTAAACTACAATCTTCCATGATTCTGTCATGTACATTCATATATGCTCATGGCATATCCAAATGACATCACACATTATGAAATGGACAAAGTCCGACACTTATTTTTAAGATATTTTTATGTTTAACATTCTTTTTATAGATACAAATATTTAAGTAAATGCTCTGTTTATAATAAACAGTATTAAACAACATTTACCGGCCTGAATGTCCGAGAAATTTTCATAGAAAATATTCGTCCTCCAACAGGAATTGAACCTGTATCCTATATGGAACTGTCATATAGCTTGACATGCCTTTAACCGATTTGGCCAGTGTTCGGTTAGCAAGGTTGATTGTAGTTTAAAGATAGTAAAATCGAATAAATGTACGTGAGAGAATCATGGAAGATTTTAGTTTAAAGACAGTAAAATCGACCTTGCTAACCGAACGCTCCTCTGTGGCCAAATCATAATATATTGTCCATTTCATAATATATATAAGGCTGATAATAAAAAAGAAACCTTCCTTCAAATTAAATGTCACTTCTTATGCTGCAAAAACCCATTTGTTGTATATATATATATATATATATATATATATATATATATATATATATATATAAAACAAATAGTTTTTACAACATAAGCAGTAGTATTTAATTTGCATAACAATTTTTAAAATCATATTTTAATAAATATTTCATCTGAGTTTAATTTTAATACAAGTTTTTTAAATTGTAATGTTTCTGTTAATAATTTTTTTAATTGTGTTTGTATAGAAAAAATATCTGCCTTGTCAAAATTTACTCATAAGTTAGAAAACATATCAGTGTGATTACATTAAAAAAATGTAATCTCAGCTTCTAAAAATAACATTCTTTTTTTTTAGAAATTTATGTCTGTAAAATGTTGCCAATATGAAAGCCAAAAAATGATGAAACATTAATTTATGACTAACATATAGCAAAAAAAAAAAAAAAAAAAACTTACCTGAGCTGCTCTTCCTTAATTTCTGAAGAGAGTTTTTGGTAAAGACTGTAGACATAACGTTGGGCTTCAAGAACCTAAAAAGGAATAGAAAAATGTAATTACCCTATGTGTATCCTATTTGACACTATTTAGCTATGGTAATTGATTAACTAATTAACCATAAAAATTAAACAAGAAAATACTGAGAACAGAAAAGAAATCTTGAGATTTTATTTTTACTTTAAAAAAAAGTTACTTTTCTCAAGAACCCAAGGATTTGTGTCAATGATAAATTCACAGAAGGGCAATGTTGCAAGCTTCTGACTGATGATAATTGTAAAGAAAACATGAAATAGCCAAAAAACGACTAAGATATCATTCGAAATCGCAAAGATTTTAGAAGTTGGACAAGCGACAAGGCCATGTGTTATTTGTAAGACGGAAAAGGTGATTTCATAATTAAAGTTGATAATTCTGAACTCAGAAAATCTGAATAAGCAGGGATGTCAAAGAGTTAATTATTGAAGCAAGCTTAGCCACACCTGAATGACCGAGACGCCATTGGTCAAGTGGTAGCAATAGTGATAGGTGGAGATGAATTAGTAAGAAAGACAGAGAAATTACTAATGCCCACTGAAAGGATTTGGTATGAGGTACCAATGTGAGAAGGAGGGAGTTTAGGAGGATGGCTATCCTGCAGCCTCTCCTCACGGACAAAGGGATTCCCCCCAAAATGGAAAGTAATTAATTTTCCAAAATGGAAAGTAATCAATTTACTTGCTGGACCAGAAAAGGATCCCTTGTCAGAAATCGGGAATTATCAAGAACCCCAGGCTGTGGCTAGCTCTGCACCAGGTTTTGGTCAATGTCAATATAAGCGAGTGCCTTTGTGCAGTTCACCAGTTCACTAGCAGGAACCAGAGAGTTGCCCTGCAGAAGCTGACTGAGAGATTCCATGACTTCTGCCTCTGACCTCGCCTTTCTACAAAACAGCAAGTAGATGAACAAAGCTAAGCCAGCACCAAAAAACTAAACCAGTTGACTTAGAAGACCATAACTTGCTTAAAAGTATAATAGTGTCACTCTCAGAAGAAACGGTTTGGGAAAAACACATACTCCTATATAGAACAGACCGATAAAAGTTGATTTGCTTTCTTTCAACATACCCAAGCCTTTTTTTTCAGGTTTTTATTTATTTCTTTTTTTTTTTTTATGCGTGTGCGACATCACCTCCAGTTTAGACTATTCTTACACTACAACCCGATGTCTGATTGATCTCGTCTACCTAAGATCAAATCACAATGTGAGTAGGTTAGACTTGAGATCGAAGTAGTTACTTCAGTAACCAGTCATTGGAAGTGAGCTGAGAATGATGGAGCTGGTGTTGAACCGGTTATATCTTGTGTGAAGCTGTTAGAATCGACCAACCATCCCATTTGGTACTCTGACCAAAGGATCCCGGCGGGTAGCAACGGCCGCCAATTGACCGGGTCACATTGTTGGAGGCAGCAACTAAGAATCAACCCCAAAGCGCTTATAGGAGAAGTATCACAGCTTCATACTGCAACTAAGAGTTGACCATGGGTCAACAATACTGTGTCACACCCAATCTGATATTGGAAGTAATCCTGGCATTTTTTTTAATTTTAAGTTTTGTATAATTAATTATGTTTTGTTACACAGTACAAAAACCATACTGTTTATTTCCCCTTTGTTAGGTTAGGTACTTTTTAGATTGGTCACTGTTTTGACCACTTCCATTAGCCCTTAGCATGAAGAAACCAACACAAAATAAAGACATCACACCAAGCATGCATTGGTAGTCTTATCCTCTTGATTTTTTCCCCCAAATTTTATAGCTTTTGTTAACTTTCTCTTTACATTTGCCTATTTTATTTCAGGGTTATTATTTGAAGATTTGTTTAATGGAGTCTTATTTCATATGTTTAATTTTTACATTTGTAGCTCTTTGTGTAGAACCCTTTCAACACATGTTCACATACACTGTTATAATATGCAACTTTCTTATAACTACTTTTTCCGTGAACTCACTGCAACATTGGAATGTATTCCTGGTTGCCTTTGTTATTTCTTGTTACCCTTGTCTGTTTGTATTTTCTGACAAACTAGTTTTATTTATATGTATTTATTTCTCTTCTAGTTTTACCCTTTTGGTTATTAATAAACCTGCTGATGTATGAAACTTTGTATGTAACTTAAAAACTTTGTTTTAATTGCTTTAAGGTATTTATCTGACTATGCATATGTACAAAACAGATATGTACTCTTGGAGGCAGAACAAATTATATATACACGGTATGGCAGAAATCCCCCCCCCCAAATGGTAAGACATTGAGTGGCAATGGTGTCATTATTTTGCTAATGTCTTACCATTATATGGGAGGTATTTCTACTGCACCATGTATGATTATAATTATATAATGCAATCTCTTGGGTGTTTTAGAAGGAGCTATATAAAATTAGACAATATTCATTAACTATGATCCTCATCTGCCATTGAGTCCAACAAGAGGAAACGCTTTTGCCTTCACATAATAGGGCTACACACTTAACATAATTACTATCTTCAAAAGTCAAAGAGACATGATACACTTCTAAGTAAACTTATGGGAAATATGGTACAAGGAATATGAAAATCTGACTTGGCATGTCTAACTAAGTGATCAGATCAGGCTCTTCCAAAAGTCCATCTATTCAAGCCAAAGTGATGTGATCAATGATTATATTATCCAATTCTTGATTCCCTTAATAAAACCTGTCAGAGATAATAGGCAAACAAGTGGTTGTTTTTTGGGGAGGATTTTCCTATCTATCTACACAGAATACAATCAACAAGGCTGAGTTTTAATAATTCTAATAAAAGAGATTTGGTGATTGGATACTCTGAACTTGGGCTTTTGTGATTGTTGTGATGTGGGGTTTGGCAAGACACAACACTTGACAAGTTGACAGTGTCAGTTGTGATAGTAGTATTCAATACTCAGCTATACAAGTCACTGAAATAGTATTATCTTCTCCCTCCTAGACAATTACCCAGGGACTGATTATCATGAATAGAAGGTAACTGGTTCATAACACAACAAGGATTATAGTATATTCTGAAATCCTGTATAGTAATAGCATTACAATTATAGTTGTGTATATTGCAGTTTTAATATATTAGTAAAAAATAGATTAAGGCTGATGTATTAATGATACAAATAAAAAATAGGTTAAATTGAAGTTTGGTTATGAGCCAAACCTACATGGAATATTATAGAATAAAAGAGCACATTTACATTTCTCAAAACTGAAAATTCAGCTTTTATTCTGTTTAGTGATTATGAAAGAAAAGTTTTGGAAGAACTTAATTTTCTTCCCTAATTCTTTGAGAAATAAATCAATGAAATAGAGCAGTTATTATAAAATCAGTGCAATTATAAGTCAAGGCCCTATTTGGGCAATCAGAACAGAAAATTGTTCTCAGTGATATCAAATTAAAGAGTTCAAATCATACATATAATATCAGATGTTTAATAAAGACTTGATATTTATACATATACATAAATCATTATGGCTTAATATCAGGAACATCAACAAATTTGCATTAATGGATATTACCAACTCAGATTTTTTTACTTGCTATTTTATTAGAGAAATTCAAAAAGCATTAGCCAAAAAAAAAAAAATTACAAATTACATTGTCTTCACTTATTTGAAAGAAGCTTATGAATTTATTTGAATTAATTCAACACAAAAATCAATAATTAAAGTCAAACAAAGCAAAAAGCCTGAATCATTAAAAAAAATGCCAAGATCAAAATTATTAGAATGTTTACATTAATAGTAAGAATTATTAGTAATTTATTCTTTGCGTACACCAAATGAAAATCAATTCCTTACCAAAATGGTTGTATCATGTTGTAATACATTTACTGCTAAAACAATAAAAATACTTTGTTAATGTCCCAAAAATTTCAATGTTTATCATATATTAAATATTGTATTTTACCATTTTTCTTATTGTTTAAAATATTGTGTAATCAAGCTAAATGTTTGGATGTCATTTGAGACAAGACAAGAGAAAGTCAGAAAAACAAGGTCAACCTAAAGAAAACAAAATTGAGTGTACTGAAATAAAATGACCATGAAACAGAATCAAGAGGACTAAAAAGATAAAGGTTGAACAAGGATTTTTTGTGGACAAAATGATGGATCCCAATCATTAAAATTTCCTGTTCTTGGGATGGGCAAATAATTCTTAAGAAAATACATAAATAGACAGTTGAAAATGTGTAGGAAAATGGAAAGACTGAATGTAGGGAAAAATACAATTTTGCCAGGTAATTTTATTTGATTGAGGGAATCTAGTTGGTGATATAACTACACTAAGAGTGATGGTAAGAAACTTTTTCCAACCAATTGTTATATGAGAACCTAGAGTTAGGTTGTTAGGGTGTTAGATCAATCCACATTTGGAAAAAATGACAGATTAGTTTTTTTTTTTTATAAATTATCATGTTGAGATACATCAATATAATCAAACCGATTCTGGATTGCCATAGCCAAGTAGTTTGATATGGTGACAGCAATTAAAGCCAACAGAAGATGTTACATGTTGACATCAACACTCCCTTTTACTGCTTACTCCATTCCCTACAAGATACTAACCAAGATGAGATGTTCAAGTGAAGAAATTTTCCTCAACCTAAGAAGATTTTGCTTGCAGATGAACATTCAAGTTGAAGAATTAGAGAGTAGGTTTTGGAGATCAACTTTGGCTGCAAGCCTGAGACTAAAGTTCCTTGATTGAATTTTTGAACCAGCTAACAGTCACCAGTGTGGGGCAATACTGTTGATAATGAACACTCAGCAACTATTAGAAACTCTACAGCACGACAGAATTGGTATCTGTAACCCTCAACAAATAAACTATGTTATTTTTTCTGCAAGCAAGAATCAATTGTCTGTTCTGAAAATTGCTTCTTTCTTTATTTTCCTTATAACTTGTCCCTTTTTCTCCAGAGGAGAAGACTTTAGACTTCATCAGTTAAACACAATATGAGTGAGGGAGACTGGTTGGCAGGATGAGACC